AATAATAGGAGAAATAATAATAACCGTTACAATCACAACAATAATAGAAGAAACAGAGATAGAAGTCAATCTTGTGATAGAAATTATAGGGATAGAAGCCAATCTAGAGACAAAAATTACAGAAGCAGATCTAGAAACCGAAGTCAAAATAGATGGGAACCCAGATCTAACTACTCACCATCATCCTACTATCGAAATATTAATATGGCTGAAAAGCAACCCGCCTCTAACTCTAACAATTGGGAAAGATTGTTAGACAACTATTCTATTAGAACTACTCTAACCACCTATATCACTAAAGCCAATAGAGAAAATACCAAACCTCAACCCATTAGCACCATTACCTCTATTAAATGCTATATTGATATTCAAGACCGCACCTACTCTGCTATTATTGATAGTGAAGCCTCTGTCAGTATGATCTCGCATCAAACTGTAAAAGAATTAGGCCTTAAAATTGAAGAACTATCAAAAAGTCTTATTGTTGCTGCTACTGGCACCACCTCTAGATCTTTTGGAATTATTAGAAATTTGCCTATTAGGATCCAAGGTCGACTTATCCTCTTGGATATAGAAGTTGTACCTGCCACCTTTTATTCTATTCTACTTGGTAATAATTGGTCAAAGAAAGTAGAAGCCAATTATAATTGGAAAACATGCCAATATACTCTTTATTAGAAAGGAAAGAAGATTGTTCTTGATATTTCTTATAAGCAAGAAAAGCCTAAAAAAAAGAAACCAACTTGTACTATAGCAGAAGACTTTAAATTATATAAGCAGGAATATCTAACACCTCATGAAGCTTATGCATTTTCTGTATCCTCAGAAGATGAAGATCAAAAATGGACTACTTACCAACCCCGACGAAAAAAACTACCTTGCAAAACCTGTAATCAAGCTAATCACCTGTACAAGGATTGCCCCAGAAATTGATATTATTATTGCATTAAATTTGGACATGTATTTATTAACTGCCCAACAAATGTGAAAGGTCAAATAACTGTAGAACTTGTAAACAAACTGCTCACTTGTTTAAGGATTGTCCAGATAACCAATGTTATGACTGTAATGAATTTGGCCATATTAAAATTAACTGCCCTCTTGCCCAACTCAAGCTTGACAATTTAACTTACAAATATGGTTGTGACAAAGACCAAATAGAAGAAAGAAGAATGATCTACTATAGCAGAAGAAGGACTTATCATTGTTGTCATTGCTATACCCTTCAACAACCTGACAAACTATACA